ATATACTTCAGAGTGCTCTATAAATACAGCTCTAAATCTCTGCAGTTAAGAGAGATGGTAGAGAATGTATTACAAGAAGTAAAACAAGACCCTGATAGCAGAGCTGCTGCCATTCATTCCCCAACTCATCCATGGAGCAGGGAATCAGGTGGCTCTTGCACCTGAGCTGCAAAACTGCTCCTCATCCCAAGGAAGCCCTGCATGGATTTTTGTTTTCATGACTAAATTGTGCCACTGCGTTCCTCCTTTTGCATTTCCACCATGTCTCTCAAAGGGTAAACTTCCCTGTGGGAGTGCTTTGAGGAACTCACAGGACATGAGGCAAAAACTGGAGGCCTGTTGAGCTCAGAGACCAAAGAACTACCCTTGACAAAGTTGATCTATGGCTATTCTAAAAGTAGTTTCCTGGGTCATTACTTTAGCTACTCTGAACATAAACAGACATCTCAGATGGGATTTAAACTCACCTCTTATTCTTTTAAGGAATTTAGATTTTGTAGTTATTTATGCTCTTTCTTGCCCTGCTCCAGCAACAGAGCCAGTCTGTGTAGCCATTCACCGGCATGCCTGGCACTCTAGCAGCCCAGATGCCAAGCTCTGAATTCTCATTTTCTTCCTCTGCCCACTATAGCGGCAACATCTGCGCCTGTGGTTGCTTCCTGGCTGGCCTCTTATCAAGGCTTCTTCTCTGACTTTGTGGCTAACTCCAGTGCTGTTTGTGATGACAGCTGTTGCACTGGTGCAGAACCAGCCATCTGGTGACCGACTTGTCCTCTTGGACACTATTTTCTTCCAGCTGTCAGGAATTTACTGTTGGACTGGGAATAATTCGGTATGTAAATACATTCTTCATGATATCCAAGCTATTATTTCCATGGGCAATGCAGTGGTCCCATCACAATTCTCGTACCAGGGTGCATCCACAGCCACTTCTCTCAGTGTGGTGCAGGATGGGTCTGATCACTCAAGTCCAATAAACTTTTCAACAGTTTCAGGCCTACAAGTATGATTTTTTGACTCTTTAGACTTAACAAACCCTCCCCAGCATGCCCATACTTGTGTGCTCCAGCAGTGGGAATACAGATCACCCCAGACTGCTGCTTCTCTGAACTCTAAAACCAGATTTTCACCATTTAACTCATGCAGTTACTCATTCCTAGTTGGCCTGTCCCAGAAGCATGCTGCTGACAGAGGCTGCTTGCTCCCTCTGAGCATCCTGTCTCTGATCTGCAGCTGCCTTATCACTGCCTCTCAGTTCCACAGCGAGAACTGAGGGCCTCATTAATGTCCCCTTTGCCCCAAGACAGACAGAAAAGCAGAGAGTCTACTGCATGTTGCATTTCGTCCTTTTTCCCCAGTGCGTTATTTGTTATTGGACTAAAAATTTACAAGTTCATCATAGTGTGCATGTCTTGAGGAAAGCATAGCTAGCTATGGCTCCCTAAGACTGTTAACCTAACAATTATCCTGACAGCTATAGCTGTAGAACCCATTTCTATTCACATATCTAATCTGTCATTTAATCATCTCATTTGCTTCATTAAGACTTGAGGTAATGAGTCCAGAAACTTATATAAATAAGTATTTTCTTGTATTTTAATTTTGATACAATCCTTTATCCATCAGTGGTGCAATCAAATTCTTCCATTCTACAGCAAAAAATATTTCAATCTCCTAAATACAAACGTAAGCAGCCACATTATTCCATTCTGCTTCTTAATGGAAGCAGTTTTCCTCAAGAATGTCGTAGTGATGTTTTCTCTGACACCTAACACTTCATAAGGGTGAGATTTTTGTTTTGAGAGTTTTGGGTTTTTAACTGACTTGTGAGGAATGCAGAGTTCATTCAGTACGTGTAGACTGGGACAGCAATAGTTGACAATCAAAAGTTAATTTGCAGGACAGGAATTACTATATAAATTTATTTCAATTTCATTCCCCTGAGGCTACATCTTTAGTCATTACCATCAAATGCTTTCCTGGTTGAGCTGCACGAGATCAATTCCACTCTGCAGCTACCAGGAGAAAATGAAGGAAAGACACACAGAAATGAATAATGTAAGAGTGTCCATCCCTGTAGTTTTTGCTGAAAATATGGACTGCCAAATCCTGGGTGCATGCATTTAAAAAAAAGACAATTAAGATCAAAGTATTAAATTTAAACTCTCCATTTAATGGAAAAAAGTATACCTTTACCAGATAAACAAAGCAGGATTTTCTGTTGGTTTACAAGCTCCATTTCACCTCTTTCTAAATAAATTAATTATTTTTTTCAGCCAACTAGCCTGTCCTCTTCTCCACACCCTCTCCAAATGCATGGCTGAATTTTCATGCTGCCAGCCTCTCAGCAGCAGCACAAAACTTTTGCAGCCTCCTCAGCTATTCGGATCTCCTGCATAACTCAGGCAATCCCCAAAACTAATACAGGGCACGCAGCAGCCTGACCCTGCTGCACCCCTCTTGCACTGGCATCTTCTCCTTCCCCTCTGCTTCCACCACACCAAAGCTGGTGAGAGTTGTCCAAGGTCAGCCTGTGCCAAGCAAGTCCAACCTTGATGGACCCACAGCTCTATGGCTAACCTCTGAGCCGTTTAGCAAGGTATAATGATTGCAAGGGTGTAAGGTTATTACTTTAAAGTCCTCCACAATTAGCAACAGATATATAGCAGCAGGGCAAGAACTGTTGCTTCTCAGGGCGTTTGATGAGGGTTTTTTGTCTTACAAGAAACCCATGAAGAGAAAACAGCAAATTGAAATAAGCTGGGACTTCATTTCATGCAAAAGTTTCGTTGAAGTGTTTTTAGGATACAAACCACACAAGCACGCTACCAGTTTTGAAGCCTCAGCCCTGCACCGCCTCACCCGAAACATAGCCTGGGCTCTGCTCGGCTCCGCTCCTTCCAGCTGGCCCTTGGCAACCTGCTCTCCTGCATTCGTAACCCCTCTCTCCCCAGCCCGTGTGTCGTAACACACTGGTAACAATAACATTTCTGAAATCAAAATGCTTTGCAGGCCAAAAAGCTGAGCTCAATCAACGCAGGGGGAAAGCAAACCACGGAGAGCTATTGTTTCTGAAAACCGTCCAAAAACTCTTGGCGCTTCAAGGCATTCCCAATGTCCTTTGCACTATTTCCAGGAAAAATTATTCCCAAGGCCTTGCATATTAAAAAAAAAAATCTGGTTTATATCAATAAACATGATAACTGCTGTATTTTTTCTCTTTAATCAGAGCACAGCTAGCATGTAGAAACCATCAGAGCTGAGTCGAATAGCCTGTTTTAAGTGTAGCATTTTGAAACTCCCAAATTCTCTATTGAGGAACATAAATTAACTCCTGGGACTCCTGAACCAAAATCTTTGACTACATTTATGTAACACAAATTTTTGAGGAAAATTTGTAGGTAGATGTGGGTGGAATAAGTGGCAGAAAAGGCAGAAGGGCAGTTTTTCTGACCAAATAAGCCGTGTTGTGGCAGAAACACTGCCTGCACCAGTGGCTGGGTGCAAGCCTAGAAACAAGATTGCTAGTTCTGATCTCAAATCCTAACATACTGACTTCCAACAAATCATTCAAAGCTCACTGGAGTTGCAGGGGGAGGTTAGAGGAGATGAGGCGGCCATCGCCTTCCTTATCCTCTACCTGATACAGGGAATCCCATTTGCAATTAAATTGTAAATGAAGTTAGACTCAAAGACATACAATATGTGGCCCAGGACAGATGAAACTTCGGGCAATATCATGGGTAAGAACACTGAACCAGTAACAAACCATAGGCAATCATGAATTACTCCCATACATTGTTACTACTAGCTGTACAATATGAGTGCTGCACTTATAATCCAATACAACCAAGCAAGAATTTGCAGACATCCCTTGTTCAGGATAACAGAACATATTTTGTCTCATTTTAGCTATTCAGATTGCTGAGAAACCCTTCTGTTCTCCGGATTACGAGCTGTTCTTGCAATGTTATATACCCATTAAAAAAAAAAAAAAAAAAAGCTTTGAATGTCCGTTCTTCCTGTCTACAGGGTCTCAGGTGGGTGGCTTTGGAATGAAGAACTTGTAAATTAAATCTTAGATCTATCAGGTGTACTTTAAGATTTTACAGATAAAGGAAAGTTTTGAGAATTTAGGAAAGGTGTGAAAAGATAAATGGTCATAATTTTGTAATTTATATTTATCCATTCCCTGCTCCAAAAATCATATTCTGAAGAAATAAGCAAGAGTCTAGTATCCTTGTGAGAACAATAAGAAGCTTATGGCTTGTTTTCAGATTTCACACCACATGCTGACTCTACCACAGTCCCATAGAACAACCACTAACTTCATGGGAAGGCACTGTGCAATGGAATAGTCTTTCAGGTACATTTCACAAAAACATAGAAATTATGGGTTAGGTAATTTAGGTTTTTCAAACAAATGGCGCACTTTATGATGTTCTGCCTCACATCTCTATCGCCTCTCTACCTATTAGACTTAATACTTATATACTTAACGTTACTGCAATTTTTAATATGGTTATTTTTTTTCAGAATGAATGTGAAACCCTTTACATGTCATGGAAAAGAAAAAAAGAACTACTAAGAACATAGCAGTTTCATTCCCTTGCTTAGCTGAATATACCTCCAACCCCATGATTTCACAAATACTAAAAATACATAGTCAATTTATTACTCAGGTTCATGGCAAAGGTTTGTGAGGTTGGGGTTTTTTTGTTTGGTTGGGAGTTTTATTTTTGGTTGTTTTCATTTTTTATTCATAGCTTTGCAGCTGCTCTACTTCAAAAATTTCAGTCTCAGAAACACAGGACTGAGTGTTGGGAAAACGTCATTTAGCTGTGTAATATCTGTACCTCATTAAGACGGCTTTCTTGTTGTAGCAGCGAAACCTAACGTTGGTAACCTCTGCTGGCATTGCTGGGTAATAGGATTCCTTAAAAGTAGGCTTCACAGGCATAAACCTTGTATCTAATCCGATTTCCTTCCTTTCACTGCAGAGACCCCTGGAAAAGCCGGATGGCTTGGATGTTTCAGATCAGAGCAAAGAACATCCCCAGCATCTCTGTGAGAAGTGCAAAGTTTTGGGCTACTACTGCCGCCGCGTGCAATAATCCTTCGGAGTGGCCTCTTCCCATCCCCCTCATCCCTAAAGATCCTCTGGCAGCACGTGATCAACAGCAACACAACAAATCAAGATAAAAGCTAAAATAATTGCCAATATTGCCTATCTAATAACATGCCTTACCATTAATAGAATGTAACATTTCTCCTGTGCATGTATGCAACAGGTATTTACAAGGACTATGATTTGTATACATACATATATATGTAAATTTATATATATATGTACACACATATATAAAGCGTTACTGATAGTGTTCACATCAGAACCGCAGATGCAGGTTCTGCTAAATGTTTACACAGACCCCATATCACGGCCAGGTGAAATGAAGTACTTATTCAATAGGCAAGGTATAATATTGACAAGGAATTGACATTGTTATATGTATGGCTTTTGCAGAGGTTAAACAACTGTGGGGCCACTAATTGTAAGCGCTCACCCACAACATGAACGTTATTCCTATTATATGACAAGACAAAGGAAGGTAAAACAAGCCATGGTGTAAAAGAAGGAAAATTACTGTTTCCCCAGTTTTAGTAAGTCTGAGAGTTCTGTGCTGCTGTTTTCTTGGACTTTCTCTATTTGTTACCATTGCTTGGGCAGGGCTTAGGCAAAATCATTTTTGCAGGATGTGGCAAAAAAAAGTGAATAATTGTTTGAGAGTGTGGGCTGGTTAGAAAGGGAATGCCATAATGGGACCCAGAGCATCAGGAAGGATTCCAAGAGGTTTTCTGAGGAGACAAAATTGGCTTGCTTGTGCAACTAACAGATCCTTCTCTTGTCATATTTTGCTGAAATGGTCCCTGTATGTGTATGGGTTGTTCATTAGGCCACAAGCACACTAAATTTACTGTGAATAAGGGGGGATAAGAATACTTAAAAGTGTCCCCAAAACCCTTAATTGAAAGATTAGCCAAACTTACTATTTATAGTAGTTTTAAAGCCACTTTCTGGAAATATTTTTATGTCCTCTTGTCTACTGTACAAATTTTTTGTAATATTAAACTTGTTAGCCATAGGGGTGTTTTGAGGCATGAACGCTCTATATAGCCTTCCCTCTCTATGTCTTCCTGAAGCACCTACATAAGAAATGTAGGGGTTACGTTTTGTTGTCCCATTTCAGGTATAACTTTGTGCAGGGGCATCCTGCTGCAAAGAAGTATCTTGTCAGGGATTGGGAAATATAATGAACTGAAAGTACCTCGAGAGAGTATCCTTTTTGTATGTCTACATAAGAGTACATTGGCAAAAGGACACAACAGGCAGTTCACTTGCAGCATTCACTAAAAAAATTACAGGGATGTATGTTTGAGGGGTTTTTTTTAATCAACAATTTATATTTTTATGAAGTTTCCTTTAGAGAGATTGATTTGTGTGAATGATACTTAGTGGAAATACTTTCAATCCTAAATAACTTGATGTGAATTTAATTTGTTTTGAGGGTTAATTCCACACGCTAAGACAGAGGGGGTTTTGTGCCAAGTGATAGCAGGATGTTACCAGTAAGTACAGTCAAGCTCTTGTAAAGCAAATTGAAAACTCACAGTGAGCATTCATATAGGAAATGTGAAGTTTTTTTTTACAGATTTGCTCTAGGGTGAAGCTTTTGCCATTTCCCTGCTTTGCTATAAGCAGGGCAAAATTGTTTCTGCTTATTCTGGTGGTAGCATCTTGCAAACGTCATTATTTATGGGTAGCCCAAGTCACCCAGCCTATTGGTCAGAGCAAGGGATAAACACTGGGACTCCTGGCTTCTGACCACAGCTCTTCCATTAGCCTCTTGATTTTGGGCAAGTCACAAAATCCTTATGGACCTCAATTTCCCCAACTGCAAAATGGGGATAATAATACTTTAGTATATCTACCTCACAGGAAAGTTGTGAGGCTTACTTAATATCTATAAGTGTTTTGACATCACTGGATGAAATGTGCTATGTAATGCTAAAATAGTATTAATGAAATTAATAGCTTCAAAACTAGTTTTGCCCAGTTGGCAATTCTGTCAACTAAAATAGCTGAAAAGAATACTGTTGAAAGTTAACACTAGTAACAGTTCAGTCGCCTTAGTGAAGATAAGAAGTTTTAGCATTTTTCAAATGGAAAAAATATTCTTTTGCAGAGACTCAGAAATTACCTTAGAGACAAATTCTCTAAACAAAGATACTAATCCTCTCCTACAAAGAATAAGAAAATACACAGGCAAATCTAGGGGTGGATCTTCAAAGCTTGACCTCTAGTATTAATCTTGATAGTTTGTTTCAAGCACAAATAGTTTTGAAAGAGCCACATACTAAATCAGATCTATTTTTTCCTCTTGAGCACTTAACAGTGCATGAACAACAACAAAAAAAATCACCTTGATGCTTCACATCCAGTTAAAGAACATGTAGAGAAACCCCCTTAGATGAATATAAGGGAAAATATATTATTTTCTCCGCGAAACTAAGATGTTGCTATCAACCATTTTTTTTTCTGTGTTGAAATAAGTTCCATCTTATGATAACCACTAGATCAGTAAAATAGCACATCCCTTGATATAGCTACATCAATATACAGCACACCACCAGGTTCTGAGCAAAGATCAACTAAAAGATACCATTATATGCAATTGTTGCTATTTTCATGACAGCGCCCTGTTAAAAATTGTTTATCCAGATTCAACACTGCATGGCAATGCCTTTAGCTAGCTTATAGATTTTTAGGTTGTACTTTAAAATAAGGTTCCTAAAAATACAGTTAATAGAGTTTGAAGTAATTAATGTCTGTAGGTGTAGAATAATAATTCTTAAAAGCATACTTATGAGAGTTCAATATTTATATAATTGATATGTTCCTAGGCAGCAGACATATAAGATATTTAAGTAATGTAATTTAGCATATTTGAAATAAGGAAGAAGAGGACAGGTTTTCCCCTACATAAAGCAGATAAAGAACAAAACACTCAGGAAAGCAAGAAGCGACACTGCCAGAGTTCGTACTGCCTAACCTGTAGACCTCAAATCTGTCCCAGCGCAGGATGCGAGTGTGATCAGGCTCTGGGCACCCCAGGGCTGGAAGCAGCCTGCTTGCCTTGCCATCCCTGCCAGAAGTGGGGTGGGTGGGGAGGGAGAGTGACCGGGGGTCACAACCCTCCCTCCCCTGAGGCCATGGGGCTGAACTCCAGCTGCCCCTCAGCCGTGTGAGGACATGCTCTTGTGTACAGTCCTCGCTTCTCAGGGCCGAAGCGCCGTGTCCCTGTGAGCTCACCTGAGGGGAGCGTTTCTCTCTCCCTCCCTGCGGGAGCTTTGCTCAGAGGATTGTAGCATTTGGCTCTGGGCATTTGCTCTGCGCTCATCTGTATATAGTTGGTGGGTTTCTGGAAAAAACACTGTCACGTAAGTAACATACAATAGTTTATGACCGTTGGCTTTTAGCTAATGGCACAGAGGGGACATTTCTGAATTTTTATTTCAAAAAAGGAAAAAAAAAAGTTACTACAAAATGTAAATTTCTCCTCTTCCCCCTCCCCAAATGTAATTCACCTATAGACCTTGATTGACCTCTTAGATTTTTCTGAATGCTTTCTGATGGTCTCTTTAGCCAGCTTTGCATTTAGAACATCACCTAATAATCCTTGAACACATTTTTAGTCTTGCCAGAAGTGAAGCAGGTGTCAGTAAAGAGTTTTAAATCAATACAGGTCTCCCTAAATTGTATATTCTTAGGGGTGTAGCAGAGAGAAATTTGTCCCTCTGCGCTTATTTGGCAAACTTAATTTTTAACCTCGGGTGCTTGCAGTTGCCTGTCCATCCAATACATGCTACTTTCCCCTCACAGATTTTTAAGCTTTCATGTGTTGCTAAAAAAACCAAACCAAAACAAAAAAACTAAACTCAGTTTTTTTCCTCAGTTGGTCAGAACATTTCACAAAGAATTTGTCCTTGGCATTGGCACTGCTCTGGAGAAAAATTTAAGCGATTTGAAATGCGTGGTGTAGGATTTTAGCTGCTTTAAGTTGATGTGGCTCCAGTGAAGTTTTTACAAATACTTCATTTAATGGTGATGAAGAAAAACCCCTGTAGATTAAAGGATGGCCCCATTTTAGCCAGTTTCTACTGCTGCTACCACAGACATAAAATGATACCACACAAGCCAAGTTTGAGGCCTTTTTGTCTCAAAGTTGCTTTTTAATTTCAGATAAATACACAGAGTATATATTATTTCTGAAAATAGGTGTATTTTGAAGTTCCCCATTATATGGGACTTAGTTTGTAAACTAAAAATGTGAAGTTACTTATGTCTGAGAGAAGCCTTATACCGAGAAGTATTCTCTATATTTTACCTTTTTGTATAACATGAAATTTAGATTATACATGGATTGCATACCTGCGATGTTCTAGCAATTATTCCAAAAATAAAACTACTTAAACCATGAAAAGTTAAGAGCTTTTGGAAATATCAGACTTCATAGATTAATTCTTTTTGTCCTGCAGTCACGTAGAGTTTTTTTTTCCTGGTATGGATCCTAAGAGTTGTCCACTGAACAGTATGCCATAAACTATCAATTATGTGGTTTTTAAGTTAAATGAATTGACATACGTTTTCCACTTGCCTTTGACAACATGTTTTAAAATGTGATGGAACTATCACCATACAAAAATCATTCTTTAAGATATCACTCCACTGCTGATTTGGCTTCCACCCGTTATCTCTTTCCTATCTGCAAAACCACTGCTGTCCATTCAGTTTGCTATATTGCTGAAGTGCTCAGAGGGGTGTTTGAGATCTTAAGATATAGGGATGATGGTTTGTGTTTCTAGGATGAATTTCAAAGGGACAATCGTGTGCAGTTATTAGCTATAGATGATTGATATAAATGTTTACCCCTGTATGAAGTATTTTACAGTTTTACTTGCAGATGTGTATTTATCTTGAGTTATACTTGACATAGAGTTTCTTCCAGTTGTTGTTTTGGTTTTTTTTTTAATACTATGTGTGTATTTTGGAAACCGTTTTAGATGTTAAAATTTTTGAATGGTTACAAATATTTCTTGTAATACGGAATTGTTATCTTATCTGGAAACTCTTTGCAGTAACTTTTTTGTATATATTTGAGGGCCTTTTTAAAAAAGTATTGTTTGGTTTTTGGGGAAAAGTTTTTACAATTTGGAAGCTTTCAGAAAGGCCTTCCTCTCAACTAGGATACTAACAGAGGTAAGAGTTTTCTTAAGTATTTTGCAGAACTAAGGCTGTATCCTCAAGAAAATATTTATGGAAATAATTTACTTTTTTTTTTTTTTTTACAATGCTTTTGTCTGTATAAAGTATGCAACAGAACTACATTAAGAAGGAAATATTGTCTACATAAAATATTATATGAAAGTTGGTACATAATTCTGACAAGAAACCTTGCAATTCTTTAAGCCATATTGTTTTTGTTATCCTTGGATGAACATATCAGTATTAAGTAACCAATATATTATTCAAGTGCTTAGACTTATATGAAAATGCTTATACAGTTTATTTATGTGTATTTGGGAAAGGATTGC